AGACAGGCTCTGAGAAGGTCAGTCACTGGTGAGCAGGTCCTCAGGGCTGGTAGGTAAGGTTGCCAAGCATCCAGCCTGGGCAGGTCTGTTCTGCCTCTATGCTGGACTTTGCGCTCCTCCAGGGCAGGTGAGACGCTCCTCTCTGGGATTCTGAGAAGGCAGCAAGTCCCCAGGCACAGACACAGCCTGAGGCGCCTCTAATCTAGCCTCCTGGTCTTTCCAGAGGCTTCTGTCTGCTCCAGAGGGATGAGGTCTCCTAGAAGGAAGGGCTCAGGGGGTCTCGCATTGGTGCACACCGGCTGCTGCCCTTGTGCTTGCATGCAATCCCTTGAGCCTCAGTTTCCCCATCTGTACAATGGGCACGGCCATCCCAGTCCACACTGCGCAGGGGGAAGGGAGACGTCACAGTTCCATGGAAGAGTGTGAGGAGCCACCCCACTTCCCTCCATCCTGTCTGCACCTCCCCACAGGACTTCAGCCTGCTGTACGAGGAAGCGCGGTACTACCAGCTGCAGCCCATGGTGCGTGAGCTGGAGCGCTGGCAGCAGGACCAGGAGCAGAGGCGCCGCAGCCGGGCCTGTGACTGCCTGGTGGTGCGGGTCACTCCGGACCTGGGTGAGCGGATTGCGCTCAGTGGCGAGAAGGCCCTCATCGAGGAGGTCTTTCCTGAGACCGGGGACGTCATGTGCAACTCGGTCAATGCTGGCTGGAACCAGGACCCCACCCATGTCATCCGCTTCCCGCTCAATGGCTACTGTCGGCTCAACTCAGTGCAGGTGAGGGCTGCGCCCGCCCCACCCACCTCTCACCCCTGCCTCCCCAAGCCCTCCGGCAGCAGAGAGATGGAGGGAGGCACCGTCCCTGAAATGGCAAAGCCCTCCGTGCTGTCTCACAGAAAAGGCAACAATGTGTGGATGCATAATTTATATCCTGCTCATAATTAAATGATGGCGCCTGGGGGATGGACTTAAAAAAATTGATCCATGCTTTTTTTTTTCCCCCCAAAAGGATGTTCTATAAAAATTGTCCAGAGTACTTTCAACAAAGTGTGCTTCATTTGACATCCAGAGTCTGAGTTTGGATTCAAATTAAACCCAGGCAATAGGAACGGCAGGTCAAACAAAGGCTGAGAGTAGAGGATCCCTTTTCTTATCCTGCTGACCTGGGCCATGGGCACCCAAACAGCTGCCCAGAGCATTTCTAGAAAGGCTTTCCCTAGATGGGTCTAGGAGTTGGGAAGCTCAGGATGGAGTGGGGCCTATTTTTCACCAGTTCTTGCAGACCCAAGTGCAGAATTCTATTTCAGGCATGGGGCCGAAAGAGCGGGGAAAGTTCCCCCTCCCCCGCCAGACACACATTCCACAGGCTGTCGGTCAGAACTTGCTAGTTGCGGGACCCAGGTATCGGAGACAGCCACCAGACCCCACCCTCGCAGAGGTACCAACCCATGTGGACACAGAGGCCTGTAGAGACTCAAACACAGAGAAGACTCCCCTTCTCCACCCCCAGCTCCCTGGAGCTGCTGAGGCCCCCAGGCCTCAAAGCAGCTCAGGGAAGCAGGTGGCTGCCCAGAGGCCAGGGGCAGAGTCTCTCTGTTATTGGGGCAGGCCTCAGTGAGGAGGGGCCCGGCGACCACATGTCTGGAGAGTGAGGGTCAGGTTACACCCTGGAGAAGAGACAAGGTACTCAAAGCCGCTTTCTGCCTCCCTGAATCAAGACCGTGGACCCCTGAGGCAGCAAGGTGGGGTGTCCAACTGAGGTTTGGTCCCCTGAGGGGCTCTGGGGCCTGGCTACTTCTGTCCGTCCTGTTGGCCCAACTGGTGGTTCTGCAGGGACCTCTGTTGTGAGACTTGAGATCTTAACAGGAGAAAGTAGCTTGCCCTGGCGACCTTCCACCAGGCCAAGCCAGGCAGACTTGCAGCTGGGCGTTTGCTGACTCCACTTTCTTCCCTGGCAGGTCCTGGAGAGGCTGTTTCAGAGGGGTTTCAGCATGGCCGCGTCCTGCGGTGGGGGCGTGGACTCCTCCCAGTTCAGCGAGTATGTGCTTTGCCGGGAGGAGCGGCGACCACAGCCCACCCCGACTGCTGTCCGGATAAAGCAGGAGCCCCTGGACTAGGCCCTGCCTCAATGCCCACCTGAGGCTCCTTGGCCCTGGGGACAGCCCGGGAACCTGGAAACAGTGCTGGGGAGTTCTGCCTATACCTGCTTAGCCGTCAGACTGAGGGTGGGGCTGGAGAGTACAAAGCTGGCCCAGGGAGCCCCAGGGCCCCAGGTGTCATGGCAACAGAATGTGGGGTGCTAGAGGCATGCCTACTGAAGGACTGTTGAAGTGACCCAAACATGCCTCGGTGGGAGCTCTGCCACCAGTTCCCCGGGTCCCTCAGCGCCCCAGCCTGGGGCCGAGACCTCCGAAGCGCGGGGGGCCTACTGCAGCACGGTCAACACAGGCCTCCCCAGCCCACGGCAGAGGAACGCTCCGTCCTTCTCCACGTGTGGCAGCCTCCAGTGGGTCTCCTTGCATCAGAGATGGCTTATTTTTCTACAGTATTTAAGACGGAACTAATTGTAACCGCACGAGCCAGAGAGGCGGACGAGGACCAACACTTCTTTATCTGGTGCTCCGGTCTCCGTCAGAATGCAGCTGCCAGGCGCTCCGGCCCAGGCACCCACAGAGTGGGGCTTGGAGACTTCTGGTTCCTGCCTCTAGGGACAACTGTAGGGAGGGCAGTGCTGTAGGAGCTGAAGCAGGAATCCCAGTGGGCAGGGCTGCTGGGAGGAGTGTGGTTCGGTGTGGGGAATGGATGGCTGGGGAACCATCTAAGACCCTCACCTTTGCTGCCACTTGGGGCGCAGGCCACACTTAGTGGGTCACCTGACCTACTCACGCCCAGGGGCTTCCAGTCCTGTTTGGGTGTCCTCACACTTGGGCTCTCCCCATCGGGACCAGCCAGAGGGCCACATGGCATCGTGACCTCAGGAATGGGCCCCATGGTGAAGGGGCCCGTGTGTCAGCAGCATCCTCTGGGTCTCCACCTCAGGAAGCCACCCCCAGCTCTGATTGTCCCACACTAATATGCACACTGAATCTTAAACTTGTCATATGAGCTTGCCCGTAAGACCCAGACACAGGTGTGCCTGGGGCTCTTGGCCCCAGATTCCAACAAGGACTGGCCCCGAGGGGTGCTCACAGACCTGCTGTCTCGCAGAAGACGGGCCCAAAGATGGACACCCCGGCCTTGTCACGCTTGCCTGAACTGGGTCTTCCCTCCTGTGGGGAAACTGCAGACAACTGCTCAGTGGGGCGCCAGGCCTGCACCGCCCTGTGTACGATGCCTGTAGACTTGTATATGACTCCTTTAATATTGTAAAGATGCTGATGTACAATTGTCGTGTGTTTGTGTAAACACATTGCGTTCCTAGTTCATGCCATAAATGATGCTATAAAGCAAAAGACTGAGGCTCTGTCCTGTGCAGAAGCAGCAGCAGTTCCCCGATTGGATGTTGTGCAGGGGGTTTGGGGGTTGGGAGTCCTCCCTTGGTTCATTCAGTTCAGATCAAGGAAGAACTGGCAGCGCTAGCTCGGGGAGAGGCAGGGTCCTGAGCTGGCCGTGATGTTTTTGCATTTGGGTGTTTCCTCACTGTTGTGCTTATCCACTCTGGGCAGCACAGATTCTGAATTCTTATTCACAGCCCCTAACTGGTTGTGAACCTAGGGAAGGCAGGCAGAAGGTATCCAGGGGCTCTCAACCCAGTCTTAAGTGTTAGAGATTTTCCCCTCTGGCTTTTGGTTGAGATTGAAGTCCTCCTTAGAGCCCCACAGAGTGGTAGGAGAAGGTGACAGTCCACCGCTCAGGCCAGCCAGGGGACAGGCAGCCCCCCCGACATGATCAGGGCAGATCGCCCGAGTGCAGCCCAAGACCTCAATGCATCTCTTTCCAAGGGAAGGAGTTTGAAGGTACTCAACATAGGCCTCTAATTTTAATGAGCCTTTTTGTATTTTTCCTCAAAGCCCTTGTGTCCTAACCCATGAGGACACTTTTAGATGCCTGGTAAGGGGCACCAGCCTTAACCTGCCTGGAGGCCAAGAGCACAGCAGCTTCCTGTCTGAGGTTGCAAAGCAGACGTCATCCCGCTGTACAATCTAATTTGCTGGACAGACTTGCTAGCCTTCTCCTTTGCTTAGCAACGTGCCTCCAGCTGGCACATCTGCATTTTTGGCATTTGAGGTTCATATCTGAGAGGAGGAGCAAGTGTTGTATTTATTAGAAAGGAAGTCTTGTGAAAATAGCTCAGTGCTGCGTGTGTTCATGGATTTTTCTGGTATGATAGCCAGCATGGTTACTGATGGGTGGAGCTTCCCAAACATTTTTAAGCAAACTAGCTTTTTGAGTAAACCATTATGCTTAAAAAAAAAAAAGTACCTTACTGAATATTACTCTTAATTTATTTCTCCTTTAAGTAAAATCCGGAAGTACAATTTCACATCAACTGGGGAATTTCTGAATTTGTAGAGAAATACTATGCTCCCCTCGTAATGCTAAAATTCTAATATACATAGTCTCCATAAACAATAAGTACAAATGATCAGTTTTCCTTTAAAACATTTATATACTTCCTGGGATGACTATATTGTAGGTAATCTTTTGATCAAATACCAGCAGTTTATACGTGTTACTTCTGTTCTTCATAAACCTCAAAACTAATAATTTTTTTTTTTATAAGCAACTGGACAGATTGCTGATGCAATGCCTCCCTGCTTCCGCACCAAACTTCCGCCAGTGCAGTGGAGAGCTTGACAAAGCTGCAGCCAGTGGCTTCGGCCACTGTCCTCACATGGGGCTCAAAGCCAGGTCACAACACTAATAATATCTTTTAAAAAGTGTTCTTTTTTTTTTTTTTTTTAAGCTACCATTTGACTGTGTTCCTACAAATAAATAAAGGATATTTTATAAATTGTAACACAGATCTAGCGCTTTGTTTCTAATCCACTGAGGCAGCCGCAAGAAGGTACGCTGGCTTAGGTGATTTTGGAGCCATCACTCCTCACACTTGGGACTTGGCTCGGCCACTGAATAGGACTTTGAGTAGCCCAAGTCCCCAGTATTTCACCGTCCCTATCTGAGAGGCTGCTGTGGAGAGCTGAGCTGTAAGCAGCTGAGTGGTCCCCAGGCACCTAGTATGCACCCTGCTGGCACACCTGGGAGTGAGGGCGGTGCAGGCACTGACTTCCAGACTTCCTTCACCTCCCAAACCCCCCCATCCCTGGATTCCTGTGTTCTGGGTTGCTGAGGGCCTCTTGTTTTATATTGATTTGTGTGTGTGTGTATATGTATGAACCAAACCACTAGTACACTTGAAAAGGGGGCAAAGAAGTGAGGATGTAAGAAGTGGGGATGCAAATTCCATTGACCCCTAGACCAAGGGAAGATTAATTTGGCTGAGCCTGGCAGAGTCTAATGAGACAGGGTTGAGGGCTACCCTCCTCCCCCTCCAGTAGGCTGACCTGCCAAGATGGTCTCATTCCACTGGGCTCTGTCCTCCCTCCTGACTCTGGAGACAGGAAAACAGCTGCAGTGGCATTGGAGGACACTCTAGGACACAAAAGATTAATTTCTCATAAGTAAGCGACGAGGTAGAACATACAAAACCAAGGGCTGCCCGAGGATTTTCAGTTTGAGGCGGGGTGCTTGGTTCAATGGGGACCTCTAGACAGAGCTGGAGAGACAACAGTTATCCAGAGAGGGCAGCTGCTGGCCTGGAGCCTGACACCTGGGCAGAAGTGAGGTGTTGTAGGAATTATGATGTCATGGTTTGATGGAGATGGGGGCCCATGAGGTAGCCCTTTGTGGACCAAGAGAAAGAAAATGGTATTGGTGGCAGCAAGGGGCAGCTTCCTGCCAGGAGCAAGACTAGCAGTGATGTTCTCTTAGGAGCATCAGGGTTTTCTAAAGTGACCTAAATGGAATACAGCCCATGAGTACTGAAAGGTCAGACAGGAGGGCTGACCAGAGACTCTCCCTGGACCTCCAGCCCTTGCCTCAGGCCATGCCTTGCATCCTCAGTAAGTCCAGCTGCATTTCTCTGTGAGCTTTCAGGGCAAGGGAGAGCCCAGCCCCTGGACAACCCCAACCCCTCGCCCCCATCTGATCTTATTTGGGACACTGGATGGCAGCTCTCTTCCCCTGAGCCCCAGAACTGGACAAAGAAGGCACCTGCCTGACCCATGGTGAGTTCTCCAAACTTTAGAGCTGAGGGTAGAGTGAGGGGCTCCCTCAGGGTGGGTAGGGCGCCCCTCCTGGGGATGTGTATCCATGCTGCCCATTGGTTGCTGTTTATCCACAGGGAAAGACTCTTGTTTCTAGCTTCACCCTCCTACTCTCAGTGGAAGGATGTCCTGGACAGAATGTGTACAATTTGAGGGTCATATAACTGACTTGATGTGGCTGTGGAGGCTTTGGACATCCATTATCAAAAGGGTCCCTGCTTGCTACAAAGATCCTTATGTGCCATGGATTGATGGCAGGATGTGTGTGTTCCTGCAGGTGTGTGGAAGACAAGACAACCCATGAGGTTAAGAGAAGACACTTGTTTATCCACAAGAATCATTTACGTGAGGGTCTCTGTAAAGTTATCTGGAAGAGAATTTTCCATATCATAGTTTTCAAGTTTGTCAATCCATCAAACATCGATTACCTCCAAATTCCTTGACTTGCACAAAAACCTCTCAGTCCTCAATGTCGGCATCTCCACAATGAACAACGCTTCTCCGAAATTCTAATGAGAGACCCAAGGAAAGGAGTAAGCACAGGCCTGGAGGAAACACAAATGTGAGGATGGGAGGTCAGCTGCATTTGGATTTTTATCTTCATTTCCATTACACAGAACAGCCAGTCCTGACAGACTGGCACCTGTGCTGGACAATGCTCTTCCTTGACCCAGGGCCATGGCTCTGGAATAACAGGTGGAGGACCTCCTCACACAGATACCACAAATGAGGACCAAGTCTTAAAAGAGCAGGGGCGGAGCCAGGGCGGGGCCAGGAAGTCCCAGCCCAGCGCCTGGAGGATGCCTGCCCCGCCCCCAGGACCACACAGACCCCCACACCCCTGGCTGGACCCAGCGGGAAGTGCACCAGCTACCACTGGCTCGAGTTTCCCCTGGCCAAGCCTGCTGCTCGCAGCCCATGTCTAGAATGTCACCAGATCTTCCTCCTCTGTGTCCTGGCCCCGGTCCAGGGCTCCCGAGGAAGCTGCGGTTTGGGGCACATCGTCTACACTGGCAGGGTGGGGTGACAGCTCCCACTCCGGACGCGGGCCACGCCCTCTTGGACGCGAACACACCCCCCATTTCCCCAGGCCCACAAAGGCACACACACCTCGCCCTGCAGCCAAACAGCAGGCAGGCAGATTTGTACGAGTATGTACAAGGTCCTGGAATTCTCGCCCGGTTGCCACACAGTATTCGAAGCATAATTGGAGGAGATTGTGCAACTGCCCTGCCTGGAGAAGCTGGGCGTGCGGTGAGAGCTCTCCAAGTTCTCATCACAGTTGTCCAGACGCCAACATTGCCACCTTGACCTAACTCCAACAGGGGGGCAGTGTGGCTCTGCAGAGAGTTGGGGAACCCAGGTCCCTGCTGGGCCAATAGGAATGAGGGTTGGGCAGAGAGGACCGTGCCTACAGTCCCCCTGGGCAGCAGTGGCAGCAGGGGCAACAGCCTTGGCAGTGCCCAGTGAGCACAGGGCCGCCCCCAAGGCCCACAGGCTGGACATAAACCAGCTCCTGAGGTGTGTGTGTGTGAGGGGTGGCGGGGTGGGGATGAACCATTGGGGGGGCCACACCCAACTAAGGCGGGAAACTGATGGCCCCTTCCCCACTTCATGGGGCCTGTGCTTGGGCAGCTGAGCCACACTCTCAGTCCCGGAAAGCCCCCATGGGTGGATCCACCCCAGGGGCCCAGTGAGTCACTTCCCCAGCCCCTGAGGCCATAGTTGAAGGTGCCTCCCTCTCGGCAAACCCTCCTTTGTTCTCCCGCTGGCTTCACTTCACAACACTTTCCTCCCCTGGAGTCCCAGACTCAGGTCCTGTGGGGTTTAGGGGCACTAGCTGTGAGCACTACAGAGGTGGGCAAATGGATGCCATCTAGAAAGTAGTCTGGCTAGAGCTTGCTTTCCTGCTTCCTCTGTCCCTCTTAGGCTATCCCACTTCCCCACATGGCTGGGGAAACCCCCACCTCCCTGCACAGGTAGTAGGTGTGCAGCCTCAGGAACACAGATCCTGGATGAGCACCAGGAGGGAGGGTGGTTTGGATGTGCTCACCCTGTCTGGCACCACCCGGAGCTGCTGAACTGGCCCCTGACACTTCTCTTGCCTCAGGGAGAGGCGTCCTTGGCTCAGATGACTGCAGCACCATCACTCACTCTCTTAGTTCTCCCTTCCCTCAGCCTCCCCCAGTTCCCAGGCCCTGGTGGAGGAGCCCAGTGCAAGCCCAGCTCAGGAAGATAATTTATCAAAATGGCTTTAAACACGGCCTCTAGTCCACCTCTTGTCCCCTCCCCACCTTCCAGCTCCTGCTGGCCACATCGGGGGCTCACTGTCCTGGGAGTTGCCCAGCTGCCAGGTGGGCTGAACCTCCCTGTGCTGAAGGCAACTGTCCACAGCACATCTCATGTGTGGCGAACAGTGGCCTTGCGGCCCCTGGCGCTCTTGTTTTGAGGAAGTAAAAGACTAATTTCCAAAACAGTTGCATGCACAAATAGATTTTGGAATTTCATTGACAACAGTAAAAAAGAAAATGTGGGGAAACCACCTCAATGTCCTAAAAACAGAGGAAAGATGAAATCTAGTATGCAACATTATTTGAATAAATGTATTTATCCATTCACAAATATGTATTGTTTATCTATAGTCTGTCATGCACTTGTAGGGGCCACTGGACAGTAGAGGGTTTATTGGAGGTCAGGCTTTGAGTCATGTCTGTTACATACATCAGCTCACCAAATCCTTAAACCACACCTGTGATGAAGGGGCAACTAATAGTATTATTTACACAGAAAGGGAAAGGTTTACATTCCCTCACCTAGGAGGGCTCTAAGAGCAGCCCCAACTGGCTCCTGAGCCTGTGTGCTTCTGCCATTAAAACAAAGGCTAGTGTATTAGTTTCCTATTGCTGCTGTGACATATTACCCCAAATTTAATGGCTTAAGACCACAAATTTATCATCAAACAGTTCTAGAAGTCTGCAGTCTGCAATGGTCTCACAGGCTCAAATCAATGAAGATACATGTCTGATTGAAGAGGCCTAGAGTGGGGCCCAGGGGCCTCCGTGAACAGGCTACTCAGGTGAGTCTCATAACAGATGGTAGAGCCGCTCACCTTGAAAAACCCCCATTTAGGGTCACAATTCTTTGTGTGTAGCATCCTTCTTAGGTCTTTCAAAAACACCAATGTTCTTTGGAGGGGCAGCATATTCAGTCCTGACATGAGTTTATGGGATACTCTCAAACATCCTCCAGTCCATCCATCCAGCCAGCCAGCCAGCCATCCTTCTGTTCAACAGATTCTTCCCAGACATCTATTCTTTATCAAGACACCTCTGGGTGCTGAGTGATAAAAGAGGTCCCAGTGAAGGAACAGACCTTAAAAGAGGGCTGGCGGCTCAGAGAGGGGACACCACTATGGGAGACCCAGAAGTGGGTGAGCCCACCGTGGTTGTGCTCCCTGCTGGCCCTGGGCTCGGTCCCAGCAGCAGGCCCTGCGTTGGTTGGGCCACTATGAGAGATGGCTCACAGCATAGTTTGGGCCCCTAGTGCACTAATCATCTCCTCAAGTAATCAAGTCCTTGCCCTCTCAGAAAGGAAAATGCAATTCATGATCCTTGCATGGTGAGAAAGAAGAGGTATGAGCATAAAGGAAAAACAAGAAAAGGAAGACAACCCTCCTTATCAAAGGGACCAGGCAAGCACCCTATATCAGGTTTCAGTGCCCTCCCAGCCCATGGAATTATTCAAACAAGCTAACCACATCCTCCTGTGGAAACCAGGGGTGCACGCCACCCTCTTGATACTACTGGTCTACCTTCCACAGTTCCTGCTTGTTCACTCTGTTCCCGAGGGCAACCTTCATGTGACCCTGTGTGGCATGTGGTGTCCTCCCCTGGGCTATGAATATATGTGACTATTAAAATGCTTTCAATCTTATTTGCCCAGTCTTGGTGGTTGTGAATTCAACCATCCCCACAACCCTAGGGCAGGAAACCTTCCCTTACCAATAGGATGAAGAAAAGGTGATTTCAACAATGCCCTCTACATGCAATACAAATATCCTGGAAATTATTTAACAGATAATGATTAAAAGACTCTTAAAGCTGGTAAGAAGAAAGCAGATTAGCTTGAAAACTTGGGACTTGAAGAATAACCATGTAGTGATTTTCCCAAATTTTCTTTTATACCTCTCATATACCCTGGATTAGATGGCAAAGATTCCTACAACTCAGAACAGCCAACAGGTATTAGAAAAAAGACAAAAAAAAGCCTGCTCTCTCTGAACAAAGGACAAGTAAGGAAAAGCCCAAAGGAGACTTAGTGGGGAGTCCCAATGCCTATTCTATGACAGAGGCACTGGCAGGCAGTCTAACTCATTTGCTGCAGTTGTACAACCAGAGTATGTTTTGGCGGGCTGGTCTACCAGCAAGTATAGCATCAGCTGAGCCATGTGTCTACCTGCCCTCCACCTAGGTATAAAAAGACCCAGGCCCAGCATCTTCTGTCCCCCATCCCCAACCCTCCAGCTAAATAGGATGACTCAGCAACACCAGGTAGGCCTGGGAATGTCACCAACGGACACTGAGCAGTAGCCCCAGCCGTGCTAGGAGAATGAAGCTAGATGACAAGAATCACAGTGCAATGGCTTTGATAAATGTATGTCAGAGCCTATATACTAAACCTAAACAGAACAACTGCCAGCTAAAACAGATTTAAATAGATCAAAGGTGTCGTAACATAATAAACAGGATACAATTGAAAATCACTCATCATTCCAAAGAACCACAGTTTGAATGAGAAAAGACAACTGACTCCAATACCTGGTTAAATCAAATGTTGGAATTACCTGACAAGAATTTTAAAGTACTGTCATAAAAATGTTTCAAATTCTCCTGAAACAAATGAAAAAATTTTAAATTTTAGCAAAAAAAAAGTAGTAATAAAAGAGAACCAAATGGAAATTATAAAAGTCAAAAATATGACAACAAAAAACCTTGCTAGATAGACTTAATAGTAGAACCGAGATGACAGAGGATGGAAGTAATGAACTTGAAGACAGATCAATAGAATTTATTCAATCTAAACAACAGGAAATAGACTGAAAAAGATGACAGAGCCCCAGAGTTGTGTGGGACAATAACAAAAGATGTAACATTCATATAATCAGAATCCTAGAAGGAGAAGAGAAGAAATATGGAACTGAAAAAGTGTGTGAAGAAATACTAAAATAAATCTACAGCAAGGTATTTCATAATCAAATTTCCAAAACTTAAATACAAGAAAAATATCTTAAATACAGCCAGAGAGAAACATTATCTGAGAAGGAACATCAATTTGAATGACGGTGAATTTCTCATCTGAAACCATAGAGGCCAGAAGGAAGTGGCACATTTTTCAAGCACTAAAAGAAAAGAATTGCCAACTGCAAATCCTCTGTCCAGTGAAACTATCCTTCAGGAAGAGAGAGAAAATAAAGTCATTCTCAGACAAAGGAAAACTAAGAGAATTTGTTGCTTGCAGATCTATCCTTAGAGGAAGCTCTCCAAAC